TTTTTTTTTTTTTTTTTTTTTTTTTTTTTTTTTTTTTTTTTTTTTTTTTTTTTTTTTTTTTTTTTTTTTTTTTTTTTTTCTTTTTTTTTTTTTTTTCTGTTGTTAAATATAAAGTGCCTTTTGGAAACCGTTTTTAATATTTGTTATCTGTGCCCACCATGAGAAATATCATTTTTTTTGTTCTTCTTTCTTAAGTGCAGGAAATGGTGACCATTCGGTACCTGGAGATGACGCTAAATCAAACAATATTTCTGATGCCAACAAAACTAATGAATCTTCTTCCCAAAAATCACATCATATTAATTTGGACTGGAGAGAATTCAGAGCAAACCTATTTGCTCGTGAGCAGGTGATTTATGATGCTTTTACAGAATTTGATCATACTCCTAATAGGGAATGGGTATAATCTGGTAATTATGAGATACCGCGTTTTTAGTTCCCTAGGGTAGAAACCCTCGCATACACGCCTAAAGGTTATCTTTTGTTGCATTAGAAGATTATGGTGTTACCTGGTTTCATGAGGTAGGATAGGTGAAGAACATAAATGCAGACAGAACAGGGTGAATGAAAGAAATGTAAACTCCTTGATCATCCAATGCACTATTCTTGTGTGGTGTGAATTATTTGCAGGCAGAGAAGGTGGAAAATGCAAAGGGTGACGCTCACGAGTGTAGGCCTCTGGGCCTGAAGTGGGCACATCCCATTCCTGTGCCTGAGACTGGGTGTGTCCTTGTGGCCACAGAGAAGTTGGAGGGTGTTCGCAGTTTTGAGCGAACAGTCATTCTTCTCCTCAGATGTGGAAACAGACATCCTGAGGAGGGGCCATTTGGGGTTGTGATTAATTCCCCGCTCCACAAAAAGATCAAGCATATGAATCCAACCAATCTTGACTTAGCAACTACATTCTCTGATTGCTCTCTACACTTTGGAGGGCCTGTTGAGGCGAGCATGGTTTTGATGAAAACAGGAGAAAAATTGGAACTCCATGGGTTTGAAGAAGTGATCCCAGGCCTCTGCTTTGGCGCTCGAAACAGCCTTGATGAAGCTGCAATGCTGGTGAAGAAGGGAATCCTTAAACCTCAGGACTTCAGATTCTTTGTGGGCTATGCTGGGTGGCAACTGGATCAATTGAGGGAGGAGATTGAATCAGATTACTGGCATGTGGCTGCTTGTAGCTCAAATCTAATTAGTGGCGCCGCATCAGAGGGACTCTGGGAGGAGATTTTGCAGTTAATGGGTGGTCACTATTCAGAGTTGAGCAGAAAGCCCAAGCAAGATATGTAGCTACCTATTTATTTCAAGGAACACTCAAAATTCTGAACTCAAATGCGTAATCTAAGTTAAGCAAAAAGCCATAAAAAGCTGGAAGCCAAATGTACAGAAGTTAGCTCGCTTTTGAAATTTAGAACACATCATCCCTTTCTAAGCACAGCAACGCTCTTTCTATAGCTATTTATAAATGTAATTTATGGTAGAGTATATTGCAGTGAATCTGTTCGCATTTGCTTGATTCAATAGCCTAAGAACCTGTCTGCGTCCGATTATAGTTATAATTTTTTTTGTCGATAAAAAAATAATTTATCTGCTTACTATTTTGCTTGTTTTGAAGAATACTTCATTTATTTTTACAACAATAGTAACCAAATTTGTTTTACACGAGGGTAGTTTCCACTTTCCTGAAATGTATACTTTGTTTATGAGACGTGGCTTCATTTTTTTTTTCTTTAATCCTATTCCATTCAAGTGACCTTAAACTAATAAATATATTAATACTGATTTGTTTTTAATCAGTTTTGTTAGAATTTTGATGGTCAAAATTTTAGAGGAAGTGTTAGAATTAAGTGGTTTCATGATGTATATAGATAATTTATTTCATTTTCTGTACTAAAAACCTGAATATAAAATTAACAAAAACGTAGTTATCAGTCACACTCTCTAACCAACTGAACTATTCCAGCTTTTGTTACAATTAAATTAATTAATTAATCTAAATAACTCAATGGTCCACGACCATGGTGAGTCGACCCACGTTTCAGAAAGAAACAAAAACAAAAACCTTACCTCGTCACTGTTATTAATGCAGCTCCAAGTTTGAAGTTTGAATTTTGTTCGTATTCACACCGAAAGTCTTGGCTTTGACGACACCATTGTTTCTGTACAGCACCGTCCATTTTCCCATCCACTCACTTTCATTTTTCCATCATTTTTATCAAATTTTAATACACAGCTCGCGTAATAATAATAAATAAATAAATGGAACACAATCGTATTAGAAAGGGAGAGCTTTGAATTTTAAATATATATGATATTTAATTTTTATTAATTTCAAGAGAATCCTTTTCTGCGTACTAAATTCAGGATCTTTGTTTCTAGCTTTTATAGCACAACCATTCATGTTCTTATTTCTTAGGGTACGACCACAATTTCCGATATATTAATTTAATTTATATTTTTGATAAAATTTATCGAGTCCACTTTAAATCATGGAAAGGTGGAGATCCTGCCCGGCCCCGACGGAAGTCTTAATGAAAAATTGATCACTATTCGATAAAACTATCATAAGATCCCCGCCGTTAATCACCAATGATCAAATTGACACTCACAGATAATCTTCGATGGAAATATCTGGATCTCGATCTTCATCATGCATCGCAGTATAGCTCTCGTATCCTGATCCGTGAAATGCCCCTGTCCCGCCGCTGCTGCCCCGATCAGGCGAGCTGTTACATATATACTGCGCATCGACGGCCATGGCAGCGTCGGAGGCTGCCTTCTGAATGGAGCCAGGCGACATGTCGTCTCGGATAAGGAGGTGATTGGTCAAGGGCAGCACCATGGGCGGGAAGTTGAGGTGGTTGAGGTTTGAGGGTCTTCTCAGGCAATAATATGCCACGTCGTGAGCCACGGCGGCAGCCTCCGGCGACGAGTAAGAACCAAGCCACATGCGCTCTTGTGTGCCCGGAACTCGAATCTCTGACACCCACTTCCCCCACTTACGCCGTCGTACGCCCTTGTATTTCTTTGTCTCAGGAGGACTAGTGTTGGAATTAGAAGCCATGATAAGATGAATTGAGTTGACAATGGATGGATATATTTTTGGAGTGGAAGCTGGAGGTAAAGGAGGAGGGAACTGATGGGAAAGAGGAAGAAAGTTGTTGGGTTTTTATAGGTTGAAATCCAAGAGGAAAGTCAATTGCTAAATTTGGTGAATTGAATATACTAGTATTGCACCATATCCAATGGGATGGCGTATTGGTCAAAATTTTCAAAGTCAAAGTCAAAAGTATATATATGTACAGAGATTGAATAAAATAATAAAAATTAATATTAGAAATTAGAATGGGCTGGAATGGGAAGGAAAAATGTGTCTCCCGCCTCCCTCCGCTCCGCCAACAATAAACGTGTTGAACCATTTAATTTGATGCAAACTCCACGTCATCCCTTCCGTCCAATCACCGCCATCATCTGCTTCCCCCTGCCTCCCATTTAATTTTATACTTTTTATACTGTGAAAGATATTATGAACACAAATGAGTTGGAATTAAAAGTGGTTTATTACTGTGGGCCTCAAGCTGCAGGTCTCCAGACCGAGTCACTAATTAAATAATAAATACACTGATTATTATTATTTTATTATAAAAATATATAAAGAATTGGTCAAATACATTGAGTGCACGTGATTAAAAGGTAATAATAGAAAGATTTATTAATGCACGTGTCTCTTCTTTTTTTCTTTTTTCTTTTTTTTTTCCCCAAACTGAGAACCAAATTCCGGAAGGTAGTGCAAGCCTAGTGTAAAAGCACAAAGCCCCCAACTCCCAAGTGCTTACCAAAAAAGTAGGTAGATTCAAATATTTCTACTACACATCTTTATTTGTCTAATTTATATCATCAGCGGAGGGGGACGGGTTTTCCTAATTTGGTTTGACTGGAACAACAATTTGATGTGTGAAAATTGGAATTTTTGTGCCACCATATGCTTCTTTTTCTACGTTAATTAATGCTCCCATGCCCTTCCTACCTACGTCATAATTTAGATACCCTTATATTTATTTTTATTTAGATACCCTTTTTTATTTCCCTTTTTACAGAAATATTAAATTTTAAGTGGTTTTTGTTAATCGAGGATATCAAACTAAAATCACTCGATAAGCTATGCGAAACATTTTTTATTCTCTCTCTATGATCTTCCTTGCTTGTCCGCCTGATGTCTTCCAACCGCCGTTCAGGTTTGTTGCTGCAGCTAACTCATCTGGCAGTGGCACTTGGAGCTCTGTGACACAATCGCATTTTTGAAGGTAGAGGACTAGCGATTGTGCGGTACTCACTTTTCAACGACAAGTGAGCTAAGCCAATTGGTTCTTGCGTCGCCTACAGCCAACCAACGTATGATCGAGCCTCTAGACTCGATTTTAAAAAAAGGTTTTAGAAAACGAGGGTATAGAGAGATTTTTGAAAGAGACGTTATATAAGCAAGCAAGAGAGAGATAACAATGGCTTAACATATATAACCTTGAGTAGGGAGAATTTGACAGGTAGTCATATTCCCTATAGTACATTCTGAGGCATTTCATGTTTGACAGGTCTAGACATGATATTTTTGAGGCGTCATACGCCCTAGAACTACAAAAGTAAAAACACTAGAATGAAAAGACATGACAAGGGCTTGGCTTGTCATGGGCATGCGGCCATGGGCAACACGCCCTGGACGAGCATGACCATGACACTTTGCTCCTCCACAAAGTCAATGATTGTCAGCTTTATTCGTATATGTCCCGGTTCTCGAGCGTCATTCATTTTGTCAGTCTTTGATTCATAATGATTTCATTGGCGCTCATTGTGTCATCATCGTCACTATTAATCACGACGGTTGTTGATGATCGAGTTGTCTCGTTGCCGTACGCCACACATGAGCAACCGTAAAAAATGTCATATTTTAGCCCAAATATGCTTCACTAAGTTTTATTAATAACAGAAATTATGAGAAAGATAAAATAATAGAAACCTAACATAACTTGACATACTTTCCAATCATCAAATATCACAAAACAACATTTTTATTAATATATATATGTATATATATAAAAGCATCATAAAATAACACAACCTATGAGCTAACAAACAATTTGGTACCTTATGCTAAATCTACTTACATCACTAATAAAACAATTAAATGATTTAGTGTCAACTTAAAGTACCTTATGCATCTTACGTATTTTGTTTAACGTTCCATCTGTATATCATACTAAGAAAAACGTATGTCATGAAGAAAAGAAAAGAAGAGAAAAAGAATAGAAAAGGAAGCAGAAAAACGTGGGAAACATGACGAAATAGAATACATGGACAAGAAGGTTTGAAGAACCAAAAAAAGAAAAGAGACAATTATCCATATCCGAGTTCCCAAAGGCTTCGCGTTAGGATCTGAAACATGAGATGAAACATACAGATTTAAGGTTGTGGAAAACGAGGAATGGTTCAAAAAAAAAAAAAAAAAAAAAA